TGACCTTGAGCTCACTTTGAAGCCCAGGCTGGCCTCAAACTCGCAGTGATCCTCCTGCCTCAGTCTCCCAAGTGCTGGGATTACAGGTGTGTACACCACCATGCCCGGCTAATTCGCTAGTCTTTCAGAGCTAGGAAGACCTGGGGTTTCAATCTTAACTCACCCACTTACCAGCTGTGCAACTTTGGACAAGTTTCTTAACTAGCAGGATTCTTGGTCTTGTCCCCTGTAAAATGAGGGTGACCTGACCTTTTTTTTTGCAAGAGTATTGAGCATTGGTGATCAGGAAATCACAGTACCTATTGTGGGGCCTGGCATACGAAGCACAGTTGGTAAATACTTGTTGAATGAATGAGTCCCATTTTGGAAAGCTCTGGATAAGAAAAGGCTTTGTTTTATTCCAGCTACAATAAATAAGCCTTTCTGCTTCTGTCATGCAGCCAAGAACATTTCAGAGGTGGGAGTAAAGTTGTGTCTCCTTTCTTAAGATGAAGCAATGACAAGGATGAGGTTGGGAACCCTATTGGTACACAGTCTGTGCAAATAAGATTGTTGATTCTCCTGCCAGCTCTGTGATGACCCCTGTAATGTGCCGCCGTGCTGGCCTTCTCTAGGCTTGGCAAGGTTGTAGTGACCCTGTGGATGCAGTGGGGTGTGTAGTTTGGTACAGTTACACCTTCAAGGCTATGGCTAGACAGTCTGCCTGCAGCGGATGGTGAGAAGGAATGTCACGGCCCATGTTCCCTGCTGTCTTATGGACTGAGAAGAATTGGGTGAAATTGGTGGAGATGCTTAGGCACTGAGGAAGCCAGACTTCCTGGCCTGGGTTTTCTTAGGGCTCTGCTGGTCTTCTTATGGCACAGACAAGTTCTGCTCAGATGTTTCCAGGAAGGAGCTGAGAGTCCCGATCTAGTCTTTGCCTTTTTGTTTCTAGTGTAGCTGAGGGACGGTTCTTAGGGCACTGATTCCCAGAGATGTAGCCCTATTTATTGCATCATGGCCAATAGAGCTCCCACAAGCTTACAGTCAGGTAAAGAAGATACTTGGTATCTGTGGAGGACACGTTCTGGTCTGGTCCTCAGACCCCTCCCCAGCCAGGCACCCCTTTACTTACCACACTGTGGTATAAGTCGAGGTTACCTATCTCTCGCCTGCTAGGGCTGAGATTTATCTCGGAGCTTCTTAGGGGCAAAGTCTTACCCTGGAGTCCAGCCCTTAGGTCCTACAGTTAGGGCCGAGCAGTGTTGGTTACTGTGTGGTGGAACCCGTCCTTCATGAGTAAAGCAGATGGGATCTCTGCGGCAAACCTTTGAGCTGGTCGGAAGGAAGGCCCTGTGTAAACACAAGGTAATAGTGTTAATAGCGGTGTTACTAATTATTTCCCAGCGTTGAACTCATGTGGTTAAAGGATCTTCCAGGAGCTTGGCTTCAGCTTTTAGCCTTTTCATATTTGAATAACATGTCATAAGCCTGCAGGAAGGGGTTAAAAGAGGAGGTAAGCAACTGTGGCAGCCTTTCTTACATAATTAGCACCTTCTAAAAAGTCTTACCTTGAGCACTCTGTTATTCCTTGAGGCCTTCCCATGCTGGCTGCGACCTGCTTGCTTTTCTGGTTGTGTGGATGGTCCCATCTAGGTATGCCCTGTACTCACAGCAGGGGCTCACAGTTACTTTATTATTACCATTATTTTTTTGTTTGTTTGTTTTTCTTCCGGTACCAGGAATCGAACTCACAACCTTGTGCTTGCCAGGCAGGTGCTTTACCGCTGAGCTAAATCCCCAGCCCCTATTACCATTATTTTTTATGATTACTTTATTGTTGTTTTGTTTTTGTGGTACAGGAGATTGAATCCAGGGCCTCACACTGAGCTACATTTGTAGCTTTTTTTATTTAGAGACAGGGACTCACTAAGTTGTCCAGGATGGGCTTGAATTTGCAGTCTTCCTGTCTCAGCCTCTCAGAATGCAGGGACTGCAAGTGTGTACCACCACCACACCTGGATACTACAACTTTATTAATGCCTGGATGAATCAAAGGATGAAACCAGTAGGTTAAGTTGAAGTGGAGTTCTCCCTGGGCTTTACTTCTCCTCCCTTCTGTCTTTGCTGATGGGCACGGTGAGAATGATCAAACACACTGTAGCTAGTAGACCCGTGAGGATGCGGTTGAGTCGGGACTGGATTGTGTGTACTTCCACACGGCTGCATCTCTTCTAGACTGGCCATGAGAAAAATGGGACCTCATGTTAGTTACTATCCTGGAAATGCCACCTCTCTGCGAGATGACATTTAAAATCTAAAGGCCAAGGTCCCCTCTTTGTGCTTACAATGACCTGGGGCAGGGAACTTGGCACCACCCTCTAGAAGAACTTTAGCACTTCTGCCCAGCTCCCCAGGAGGATGGGATTTGGCGATATCACTGTGGCCTCTGCACTGTCCCACTCAGCCCAGCGTGGGGCTCAGCCTCAGAAGCTCTGAGGGTCGGGGCTGGGGATTTAGCTCAGCCGCACAGCACCTGCCTGGCAAGCGCAGTTGTGGGTTCGATTCCCGGTACTGGAAAAAACAAACAAAAAAGAAGCTCTGAGGGTCTTACATCGAGGACAGCGTCTGCCTGCCTTCCTGTGGCTCCCCAAGCTTTGCTCTGGAATTGGAGGCAGGGAGCTGGGCTCTGTCCCAGCTCTGCTGTGGTTTTGTGCAGGTCACCTCTCCTCTCTGAAGCTCAAGATAGGAAACCCACTGAATGGGGAAGTTCAGTGTAGGTGGAGGGTGTCTGTCTAGGAACTCTTGATTTTCATCTCGTGAAAATGTCAACCAGCCGGTATGGTGGTGCATGCCTGTAATCCCAGCACTCATGAGGCTGAGGCAGCAGAATTGCCACAGGTTTGAGGCCAGACTGGGCTACATAGTGAGTTCAAGGTCAGCCTGAACTACATAGTAAGACCCTGTGTCAAACCCTCCCCAAATATATATATATATATATATATGTTTCCTGATAATGTATGTATCAGCCATATGGAAACATAGGCAAAATGAAAGACCCTTGCTCTTCTCTCTGCTCGTGTCTAACCCCACTGTTCCCCACTTATCATATATCCTTCTCTTGCATATATCTCCCATTCCTCAACAAGGTTCACCTTTAAAAACAACACCCAGGAGCAATGTGTGTGGTTCTTCTACTTGGACTGTTCTCTTAACTGCTTAATGAGGAGTGGAGGCCCCTGCAGAGCCTTTACAGCACCTCTTCCCCTGGCCTAGCATAAGGGGTTCTCAGGGGCGGTCCTTTTTTCTTTTTTTTTGGCTTTTTGAGACAAGGTCTTGCTGTGTAGCCCAGGCTGGCCTTGAATTCAAGGCAGTCCTCCTGTTGTAGCCTCCCAAGTGCTAGGATCCCCAGTGTGCACCACCGTGCCTGGCAGGGTGGTCTTTCCTGGAGGCCAGGAGAAGGCATCCTGAAGTTATCAGCCCAGACAGCATCAAACTGGCTGTGTCTCAGGGACTGTGTTGCTCTGAAATGTGTTTGCGTGGCGGCAGCAGCGGTGTGTGGAAACCAGGATGTGTGAGCAGTGTGGCGTCAGTACCTGCATTTCATGTGTGCCCTTTCTCTTGCCCATTCATCTTCCGCTGGGAAAAGAGAAAATTGATCAGGTTTTTAACTGTTTTAGTGCTGCAACAGTCTTGGATTTCTGAAGCCTCAAATTAGCCAGGACTTTTGCTCCTACACCTTTGAAAGCAAACCGGGCCCTGCTGGTGTTGGGAGTTTTCTTGTGGCTAAGGGCTCTGAGGAGCTCCTGTCAGCAGCCCAGCTTTTGAGTCATCACAGCCCACAGGACTGCCTGGAACAAGGCGAACACCCCTTTCCCTGTGTTCATGGTGCCTGTACTACATTTTCGTGCTCTGCTGCCCTGAAGAACACATTTGTGGTTGCGTTTGTGTTTGCTTGCAGTCTGGGCTGGGGTTCCCTTCTCCCAGATGTTTCTGGGGGCCTAAGAGAGAGTTACTGCTGCTTCCCAAGCAGCTCGGATGGCAGTGCAGCTGTTGCGGGCACTGCTCCTTCTCTGATGGCGGAGCCAGCCCTCTGGCATCCTGGGCATCCTGGCCGTGGCCTTCATCCTCACTCTGCAGGTTCCTGTGGCTCTGCTCCTGGGAAGGACCATCCCCCAGCCCTTTCAGAAACCATAGGTGGCAGTGTGCCACCTGTCCCTTGGCTGGCCCAGTCCTCGGCTGGGGTACACTGCCCCATTGTGCTGTACTCCGCGAGGCAGCTCCTGTCACAGCCTCTGTCCCCCAGCTGCTGCTTCCCTAGCTCCTGCCCTCAGAGACTGTAGGGAGCAGTGGGCTGTGAAGTGCTGGCACAGGCACAGGATGGGTGGCAGCTGCAGCTGTGGGGGGCTTTGTTCTTACAGCCCAGCATGCAGGGTCCTGGCGCAGCCTGGCAGTGGCATCTAGGGACAGGGAGATGGGGAGGTGTATCCCTTCTTACAGCAGCTGCCTCGTTTTGCCTGGCCACCCGAGAGGCTTGTTGCCTGGCCAGCAAGTGCTGTGCTTCGTTGACAGTGTCCTGAATGGCAGAAGCTCCTTGGGTGTGGTGGGATCCCGGGTGCTATCCTTGGACCTCAGGAGAGCACTGTGTGAACCTGTGCTTTCCACAGCGTGGCCTTGCTGTGCTCTCGCTGCAGCTTCAGAGTTGGGCTGCCCCCAAACCAAGTGGTTTGAATGGTGTGCCTGGCAGCGTCTGCCGAGTCTGTTGCTAATCATGCTAAACAGGCGTGCCGGCTGGCGGGAGAGAAGACACTAGCCCTGTGAGTCTGACCGCAGCCAGCCTCTCTGCCCCAGCTGCCACCAGTGTGTCGACTCCTTTCTTGTCCCGCAGGCTCCCTCTTCCCCTCGCTGATGTTGTACCATCCTGCTGCTCTCTTGTCCTTACTGTTAGGTTCCCTCCATCTTCCCAGTACTCCTGCCAGGCTGGGGATGTCCCCAGTAGTGGCCAGGAGAGAGCAGTGTCCTGTAGCGTGGCACCTACTGCTGTGCCCTTTCATCCTCCGCATCCACCCTCACGTCAGTTTTCCCGCAGAAGACAGTGGGTCAGAGTTTCTGTTCTGCCTGTGCTTTGTCATGTGGAGTGTGAGACCATCCCTCACTACGGGTCCCCAAGCTGTTGCTGCCTCTCCTGCCTAAGGAACAGATGAGTGGGATTGGGAAGGGACTTCACTTCATCCCTTTGTCAGGAGGGTAGGTGGGATGCTGTCTGCCCTGAGTCTAATTATGCTAACCAGGCCTGCTGGCTGGCCAGAGAGAAGACACTAGCCCTGTGAGTCTGACAGCTAGCCGCCCTGCCCCAGCAGGGCACTGCTCACCCAGGAGAGAGGTTGGGATCAGCTGCCATGTTCTCCTCGGGTGCGGGACTGAGCTGAACCGCGGCTGAGCTCTGGGGACATCCTGGGCAGAAAAGCTTTTAAATGGAGAGCTAGAGCCCAGCACAAGGTGCCCGCCTGGGATGTTGTTTTCCTAGGCATCTGTGACCCTGGAGGTGGAGTGGGAGGGGCTGGGCTCCTACCCCTTCCACGTCTGGAGCTTGAAGTGGACTTTGGCCAAGAGGAGCTGGAAAGGCACCTGAGCCAGCGAGGGCCAGAGCCTGCCTTGAACTCTGTACTGGCCAGAAAGTCAGGACCTCCATGGAGCCTGGTGAGTGAAGCGGCGCAAAGACGCTGCACCAGGGCCTCTCCTCCTCCAGGCCAGGGGTCAGGGAGAGCAGGAGACAGTTGCTTGGTGTCCCTCACTGGGGTAGGTCTGTTCTGTGACATTCTATGTCCTGGCAGTGGGCGGTGCTGGGCCAGGGGACTTTGAGAACCACAGACCCTCCCAGTGGCTTCTGGCCCCGTGGGTGGGAGGGCGAAGGCAGGGGCCTGACTGATGGCGCGTTGTAGGTGGGTATGAATGTGAGGGGCCATTCAGGACCCTGGGGAGGGGGGAGCAGTCTGGAAGGGGTTTTTTTTTGGCTGTGACCAGGAAAGCAAGAGCTGGGCATGGAGGTCTGGGCCCAGGGTCAGATGCCAGGCATGGGCTGTGCATGCGGGGGCTTTGGCCTTCTCCTTATTAGGGGAGGGGCTGGTGCTGGGGGCATCTTCGGTCTCTTCAGCCCCTCGTTCTGCTCTGTGTTTGTGTCTGTGAGGCTGGGGCTGGGGGGCGGACTGGAGGTGTTTGCCCAGGTGGGAGCCAGGCGAGCTCTCATCAGTCGCCAGCACCCGTTCTTCGTCATCAGGATTGCTCTGGGGCAGGATGGTTCCACCCTCTGTGGCTTTCAAAACCCTGTCAGTCTCTTCAGGTTAGAGTGGGCAGGAGGCCAGGCCGGGGCTGCAGGCTGCGTGTCCCAAGAAGGTGAGGTTGTACTTGCCTGCAGGGGGGTGGCAGGCAGAGTTGTTGGAGGAGCAGCAGGGCTGGTCTGGGCACAGACTGGCATCTTCCAGCCTAGTCATCTGCCCGGAGCAGAACCTCTGCCCAGGCCCCACCCGAGAACTACTGGCTGCCTGCCTGCCACGCGCCCAGGATTGCTGAGGGCTTTGCTCATGCGTCTTGGGAGCCCTCTCGGGAGTAGCAGAGTGCCGGAAACGGAGTTGGGGCTGGCAGGCAGGAGGGAGTAAGTGAGGCTGGGCCCACCTTGGTAGTAGGAGCTTGTGTTCTGCCTTTCAGAGGGTGGAGAGGGCTGTGATACTATGCTGTGGGGCAGTGGGGTTCTTCACAGGGAGTCCCCAGGGCCACTGCAGGGCCACCTGGTCAGAGGGCTGGCCCTTCTTAGCTTTAGTTGGAGGCAGAGCCTGGATTTCAGAAACTCGAGGAGTAGCCAGTTCTCATGGTAAAGGCATAGCCCTCCCCAATGTGCCCATCTTCACCAGGTTGCAGAGTTCAAAGACCGCGTCCAATAGTTATGCTCAGGACCATGCTACATTCTGTGTGGTTGTGTTCTAGTGGCTGCTGAGGGGTTGTTGGAAGGGCTGGTATTTATTTTATTTTATTTTATTTTTGTCTTTTTGAGACAGGGTCTCGCTGTACAGTTCAGGCCAGCTGTGAGCTCACTTTGTGGCCCAGGCTGGTCTCCAATGGTATTTATTTTAACTGTTTCTTTATATCCTGGGTCCCAAGGTAATTGAGGCAGCACTTTGTATAGTTGGTGTGCTCTGAATCCAAGCTGGTTTTCCTTTCACTTTAGAAGCAGGAGTGATTATTAACTTCCACTGGACTTTCTTTGCGTGTTAGTTATTTCTGTGATGACCCCTTGAGGTCCCTCACTTGCTTGGTTTATTAACATCTGTGAGAGAAAGGCATATCAGCAGGCTTGGAAATAACCTGCACCCAGATAAACTGATGGGGCATAACTTTCTTTTCTTTCTGTGCAGTTCTAGGGGTTGAACCCAGGGCCTTTGTACTGAATTTGGGACAGGGACTCACCACATGGCCCATGCTAGGCTTGAACTTGGAATCTTCCTGCCTTCATCTCTAGAGTGTTAGGATTCTAGATGTGTGCCATTACACCCTGCCAGCGTGATTTCTTAGAAGGAATGTTGGTGATGGGCAGCGTGTGGCAGGAGGAGACTGTCGTGGACTCAGGTCCTGACTCCCTGTCATGGGCAGTGCTGGGAGGTAGCTGCCCTCTGGCAGGCAGAAGGCTGGGGGCTTGGCCCTCCCTCTCCTGGGCCTTGGGCAGACCCTCGGGGGACAGCAGGAGGTGGGAGGCCACCTGGGCCTCTGGACTTCTTTGCTGTTGTCTCCTGCAGGTGTAGATCGAGGCTTGGAGAGAATCAGGGTTGTAAAGAGGCTCCTCTCCTGTGCCCCTCCAGCTTCCTAAAGAGCCTGCTGTCACCCCAGGGGGTTAAGGCACATACCCACAGAGGGGGCTGGTAAGCATCTCAGCTCCTGATCAGGGTGGCACTTACTGTCTTTCGTGTAAAGGATGCTGCTCAGCCAGCTTATGGTGCGGGTCTTGGTGTCTGTCTCATCTCCACACTGCTCAGCTGTTTAGTGGGTTCACAGCGCAGGTTCCCATGCGTGCTGAGTCCCATTCCTGATGAAAGTAGACTTTGTTCTGGAAGGCAGCTAATCGTGCCCCATGGGCTGTAATCAGGGAGAAGGTATTTAATGCAGGGCAGGCGGCAACAGGCGGCCTGCATGACTGGCAGATTTCAACATGGCAATTAGGGAGCCATCACCCCCACCCCAGCAGCTAGAGGTAGCGCCTCCTGGGATGCTTTCTGAGTAAGGGAAGAATGAATGTTATGCAGCAAGGAAGGAGGCGGCTCAGGCTGGGTGCAGGCCTGAGTGTCCCTTTCCTTTCACTTCGCCTTCTGGGGATGAGAAGAGGGCTGCTGCTGCTCTGGGTGGCTCCTGAGCTGTTGCCAGCAGGTTCAGTCCAGGGGTTCACAGGCCAGGCTGGGTCAGCCAGGGGTCCCTGTGCCTATGGCTGTCCTTGTCTTGGGACCAGCCTCACATCCTGAGTCCTCTCCACGTCCTGGGGCTTAGGTGGTATGGGGAGGACAATGGCAGGGCAGCAAGAGTCTTCCCTGCTCCTTGCATTTCCATAGTGCCCTGTGGCACACTCAGCATCCCTAGGCCATAAGCCCCCAGACTGTCCTTGGCCTCAGCTTGCTTGTCATAGCCCATGGGCCATTCTCAGTTGTTAGGCTGCTTCCCTGGGGACAACCCCCAATATAGGATTAGGCTCCTTTCTTGGGCTGCAGTGCTCCAGGCCCACCGGGGAAGCCTTCCGGTGTTACGCCTGGTAGCTGACTCCCTGGTGGACCATGCCCAGGCCTTCCTTCCAGCTCACTGCTTCTTCCAGCTGGGCCCCAGTCACACTGCCTCTGCTGCTCCCTGTGCTCCAGCCTTGTGTTGCCCTCTTCCATGCTGCAGTTATGGTACCCGCCGCCACCATGAGCTGATCCGGAGTACTTAGCAGATGTTGGGAATTGGAGCTGGAGAGCTGGGGAGCTGGGGCTCAGTGTCTGCAGAAACCCCCTGTATTTACTGGCATGGGGTAGAAAGTGGCTCACATTCTCCCAGGCAGTGGGTGTGTCCCTTTGTTGTGACTCTGCCACTTTTGGAGAAGGACCTCCCACACTCAGAGAAGGACTCCCCATCCACAGCTGTTGGCCATCTCAGTGCCAGTCCCACCCGCACTGTCTGCCCACTAACCTGACCCTCCCAGACCCTCCTGGGAGTAGATCCGTGCTCTTGGGAGGCCTGACTGGGCAGTGGGGACCTCAGGTCAGGGTGAGGCCAGGGGAGCTGGAGGATGCTTGGGGCCTTCTGTGAGGTGGCTCTGAATACAGGGCAGCAGCAAATCTGAGCGTGTCTGTCCTGCCTGCCTGCCGCTAACACAGGTCCTGGTGCCCTTGGCAAGAGCAGGGTCAGGGAGGTAAAGAAGAGGCTAAAGACAGGACAGAGCACATGGTACGGTGCCACAGAGAGGAGCTTCCTCAGCTGTAGGAGGGAAGGGAGGAAAGAAGGGATAGGGCTCTTTATAGAGAAGGGAGGTGGCAGAGACTGACTTGGAGGCGCCCCTGGGTGTCCACTTCTGCGCGTCTGTCTCTCTCACTGCTGTGACCCCACTGCACACCCACATGCACGGCAAGGCTGTTGGGACTTTTCTAGGCCTCTCCCTCAGGCTGAAGGAGCCCCTACCCTGGGGCCCTCTGGGGACAACCCCAGGGGACTTGTGGCAGAGACTTGTTTGCTCCCCCACACCCCAGGAATGTGCTGTCCTTTCAGGCCTGCCTGGATTCCTGTGCAGGGAGTCAGCCGACACAGCTTGCTGTTTGTGCCCTGTGGGGACACGTTCTGCCTCCCGTCGAAGGGGTGGAGGCTGGCGGCTCGTGCCTGTGCTGCCACACCCCAGCTCCCCCAGAAACCCCAGTCTGGGCATCAGTCAAGAGGAGGACCACTTTGCCTCCGTGCCCCCGCCCGTGCTTCCTGCCCCAGGCTGCTGGAATGTGACAGGAGTCGCGGCCAGGGCATGTCCCAACAGCGGGAACACATGCTTTTGCCCGCAAGGCTTCCCTCGGCCCCTGGCTCTGTTCAGGTGGATGGATGGCAGCGGGAAGAGGTTGTTTTTAAACCCAGAAGGCCACCTGAGGTTACTGCCTCCTCGGATTGCAGCAGTGGTGGCGGCTGCCCTCCTGCTGCAGCCTGGCTCACTGCAGGGCTATGGGCAGAACTGGAGGGGCCTTGCAGGTCTCCACCCGGCCACTGGCCACTGTCATAGGTTCAGGGCAAGCTTAGTGAGGTAGGGATTTGGCTCCTGTGTGCCAGAGAAGCCCTGAACTTGGGCTTTCTGTGGCAGGGTTGCCTCCTCTCCACTGTTGACCTTTCATGTGATCCGTGTGCGTTTCAGGGCTGTCCTGTGCCTTGTTGGGTGGCTGGCAGCATCCCTCGCCTCCACCAGTAGATGCCAGTTCAGACTCTCGAGACACTTGCCAGGTGTCCCTAGGGGAAGGGGTGGGCGGAATTGCCTGGTGAGAGCCAAGGCTCTAAAGTGCTGCCCTTCCGATCTCTCCTGGCCTCACCTTTCCTCACAGCCAATCTGCTGGCTGGCGTTGTGCACAGAGGTGGCCTTTGTGCTCTGACGGAAAGACTGCCAGGAGCTGCCTTCCAGCCTCTCTTCTGCCCATCTTCTTGCATCTCTCCGAGGCCTTTCCTGGTTGAGACCCACATTCCCCAGAGCGCTGAGTTGTTTCCAGACTCTGAGAGGCCTGGCAGATGAGCAGGACAGATATGGGGGGGTGGGTTGGGGACAGGACAGAGCTGGGCCTGCGGTGAGCTCAGACATTGCTTGCACACAGACACGTATGTCTCCTCTGCAGAGGCAGGAAGCCGTGCCTCAGTTGTCTCCTGACCTCTCTGCCTGGCCCTCCCTGGGGACCCATGCAGGTCCCAGCCTGGCAGGCAGGCCCGTGGCGCTGACAGGCAGGCAGCTGGCTCCTGGTTTCCACTTTCCTCCCTTCTCTGGTTTCAGGAGTGCCTGGCTGGAGGAAGCGGAGGGGCTGTGGGATGCGGAGAGCAGAGGGCTGACTCCCGCAGGGCAGTACAGAGCGAGCTGCTGGCGCCTAGACGGTATGTCCCCAACTGTACGTCCCCACCAAGCCTGTGCCGCACGTGGTCTCTCTTGAATGGCTGGCAGGAGAGAGGGCAGGCAGGTGTCCTCTCGGCAGAGGGCAGGGAGTGCTGTGGAGCTGGGAGAGCCCACTGAGGAGCTGGGCTGGGGGAGCATCTGCCAGCCTTCACCTTTTCTCAAAGCAGATGCTCACCAGGCATTTCTCCAGAGCCCCACACTGCTCTTGGCACCTCAGGGACCTTCACAGCAGCCCTGTGGGATGGGCTGCTCCTGTCGGGTTTAATGTGGAGGAAGCACCCACTTAAAGAGCGCTTTTTCCCTTTCTGCCCCGGCGAAGGGTGCAGTGCTGCTTTGAGGCTTCTGTTCCCCTCCCAGAGCATGGTCCACTGGTCCTGGGGCCCTTCCTGTCCCACCTGCCTGTTCCCCATTGGGCCCACGCTGCAATGTCCATACTGCCCCTACCCCGAGGACCAACCCTCAAGTCCAGCCCCTTGGTGATCCCAACAGTATCCAGGACGGGCTGCCTGTGTGGCGTACATGTGTGGCCTTTGGTCATACATGTCTTCTTTGTCAGTCCAGAGGCCTCTGTGCCTCTTCTCTGAGCCTCTTCCTCCCTGGCTTTCCTCAGCAGGTGGAGGAGCCCACACCTCCCAAAATGACCAGTGCGGCCCCTGCCAAGAAGCCCTACCGCAAGGCCCCGCCGGAGCACCGGGAGTTGCGGCTGGAGGGTCCTGGGTCCCAGCTTGAGCAGGAGGTCAGCAGGACTGATGGCAAAGACAGGCCCTGTGGCGAGTGTCGACCTATCTTCCCCTACCCGAGCTCTATGGCCCCTGAGTGGGGCTGGGATGTGGTACTGCAGGCACAGCCTGGGGCCCTAACTGCAGCCATGCTGGTGGGGGCACCAAGGGCTCAGGGAGGCTGGATGTCAGCTCTGTGGAAATGACCCTGTATGGCATTGCTCTCCCTGCAGGATGGGCCAACCTGCTGGAGGCTGGGCTTGGGTCCCTGCAGTCAAGTGGTGGCTCCTTTGGAGGCGCTAAGGACACAGTGCCCCAGCTGTTTCCCACTGGCACAGCTGCTCTGCCTTGTCTGCAGGAAGTGCGTGCTTCCTCAGCCATGCCGTCGGCTCATGTGTGTTCCCTGCTGGGACTGTCTAGGATCCAGGCTGTTTCTAGGAGGCCTGCAATCACAGCAGACTCCTGTGCGCTCTCCTCCCTCGCCAGGTCCCGTGGCGGTCCCACCCTGTTACAGCCCATGAAGCATTTAAAGGACCCGGAAGGCAGTCCTTGGTTGAGCATGTCATAGCCCACTTGGGACAGATTCAGGCCAGAGAACCTTAGATAAAAATGCCAGCTATTGCTGGATCTGGTGATGTAGACCTGTAACCCCAGCAGTCTGGGAGGCTGAAGCAAGAGGATCATAAGTTCAAGCTCAGCCTAGGCAGATACTGTCTCAAAACAAAATCAACAACAAAAATGGGCCAGGGATGAAGCCCAGTGTGTAGGTGCTAGGTTCAACTTCCAATATGGAAAAAAAAAGCCAGCCTTGTGCTACTTCCTATCTAGTGGGCATTACCCTAGTTTTCTAGATGGAGGGATCCAGGCTCAGTGAGGCTCTGTGGACCAGCATGTGGTGGACAGGGTCAGATCCAGTTGTTGGGAACTCCTGAGTCCTTGGTCTGGGTCACCTTCGTTCCTGCCCGTGAGTGCAGTTCTGAAGCAGCAGGTCCATTTGGAGCAGACCCTTGACGTTCCCCTCCTGCTGCAGCTGCCGGCTCTGCCTATGGCTCGTCATGCTCTGGGGTTTGGCCCCTGACCACTGTGGGGGCTTGGAGAGGATGGGCTGGAGTTAAAAGCAGCACAAGATGCTTTACTGCTCTCAGTCGGGATTAGCCCAGAGGCCCCCTGCACCCCTGCGCCCATACACAGAGCCTCCAAGGTCCTAGGAGGGCTCTGCCGGAGCTCAGGACTCATAGCCTGACCTGACATCACTTCCCTGGAGGTCCCTGCCGTGTAGTGTGGAGGCTGGGCCCAGGAGGAGCCCCATGGACAGCTAGGGGATGTCTTTGAAGGGGGTGGCATGGTACCAGGACCCACCTGAAAATGGCTTTAGGGGTGAGGATGAAGGTTGGCATGGGAGAGGGCAATTACTGGGTGGCACCCTTGTGTGCAGAGCTTCAGAAGGGCCCTGCCAGGGCTCCATGGAGGGTAGGCTGCCCCGCAGTCCAGGATCCAGAGCTGAGCCTCAGGCTTCTGTTCTCTTCTGCCCAGGAGCCCCTGACGGACGCAGAGAGGATGAAGTAAGTTGGCTGCCTGCACCGCTGCACTATCCTGTGTCCCCTTAGCTCCCAGCAAGGCTGTTAGTACAGTCGGGCTTTGCCCTGGCTTAAATAGAAGTCAGAGTTGGGTTGGGGTTTCTCAGGGACTCTGGAAGGCGGCTTGACATTGTGGATACTCCTTTTCTGGGGGTTTTATCGTTCTGGAGGCCCTGAGAGGCCCTGGAGCGAGGAGGTGGATAGTTGGGAGGGGCCTGCTCTTGCCAAGGAGCTCCTGTGCCAGCTGCCTCCCTGTGACAGCCCCACGAGGCCCCAGGAGAGGAGGGTGGGGCTGAGCCGGATTTCCAAGGGATTAATAATGGAGAAGCTGATTGTGCAGGGGAAACGAGAGCCAGGGGCTTGGGGGCCGGCTGGCTTAGGCAGTAACCAGAGAGGCTGGAAGCTGCCCCCCGCCCCCCCAGTTCTGCCCTGTTGCTCTGTGTCCCCTGCCTCCCCCATTCGTCATCAAGCTGTGCTCTTGGGCCTGTGGCACGTGCTGTCCTAGACCCAGGCCGAGGCCCTAAGACTCCCCCTGCCCCCGCTGCCTGGCTCTTCTCTCTGATGCCCTCTCTGCACCCCCACCTGCAGACTTTTGCAGCAGGAGAATGAAGAGCTTCGCCGGCGCCTGGTCTCGGCCACCCGCCGCACTGAGGCCCTGGAGCGGGAGCTGGAAATTGGGCAAGACTGCCTGGAGCTGGAGCTCGGCCAGAGTCGCGAGGAGCTGGACAAGTTTAAGGACAAGTTCCGCAGGTATGGGAAGCGGGGCCAGGCCCACACTTGAGCATCTCCCCGTGCGCGGGTTAGCTGGAAGAGGCCTGGGCGTGACCATGTGCTGATTAGAACATGGAAGTTGTGACTGGAGAGGGCACTGCCCGGGAGCCTGCGGGAAGAGCAGGTCTGGACCCAGGGTCTCCGTGTCCCTCCACAGGCTGCAGAACAGCTACACGGCCTCCCAGCGGACCAACCAGGAGCTGGAGGACAAGCTGCACACATTGGTACTGTGGCGCCAGGGCGGGTAGTTGGCCTGGCACTGTGCTGCGGGACAGGGGCCAGGACTTCCCTTTGGGGAGCCACTCTGGCCTGGGGCCTGGGGTAGGAGAGGGGCATGGGGGGGCTCGCAGTGTGCTGTGTGAGGCGGGACCGTCGTGATGCTCATACTGTTTCTCTTCTCTCCTCGTCTCCCCCTCATGCTGCCACCGTTGCTGCCGCCCTCTCCTCTCAGGCCTCTCTTAGCCACAGCTGGATTTTTGCAGTTGCGTCTGAGTTTGTGTTTCCTCCCTCGTGCTGGCCTCCTCAGGACCTCGGGGCCCTGGCCCTCCTCCTCTGCCCCTTGAGAGCCCCTGGCCTGTCCTTTCCCCACACAAGGCCCGATCAGTAGTCAGGACCAGGGCTCCTACCCCGATGTCACCCTGCACACCGAATGCTCAGCTGCAGGGGCAGTGGGCCCAGGCTGCACTCCACGGGCCAGGATCAGAGGCGACTTTGGAGCCTACAGCCTCCAACCAGATCATCCCGAGTGCCCCACTTGTGCCCCACTTGTGCCCCGTTGCTCCCTCTTTCCTCATCCTGGCATGGCTGAGAACAAACAGCTGCGCACAGCTTCAGCACTGAGTTTCTGCCTCTGGGTCCCAGCAGCCTTCCTCGGTGCTCAGAGCCCCTGAAATTCATGGCCATAGACAGGTCTAGGCTGTTTCTCTCCTGGTCCTCGCCATGGCTGGCCAGCAGAGCAGGAGCAGTGCCCAGTCTCCTTCTGTCTGTCCGTCACTTGTCTGCTCTGTTGCCTTGGCTGCCCTGGCACCTGTGCCTCGTGTCTCTGGGCTGGTGGTCAGGTGGGGTGGGTGGGGGAAGGGCTGGCTGAGCTGGGCTTGATCTACCACTCATCTATGCCCCAGATCCAGAAGGCTGAGATGGACAGGAAGACTCTGGACTGGGAGATCGTGGAGCTGACCAACAAGCTGCTGGATGCCAGAAACACCATCAACAGGCTGGAGGAGCTCAATGTAGGTCACCTGCTCTTTGTGGCCTCCCTGCCCCCACCCCTGTGGTGGGCTGGCCGCAGGGAGGGTGCAGCTGGCCTGCTCTGAGGTCGCTCTGTGTGCAGGAGCGGTACCGGCTGGACTGCAACCTGGCGGTGCAGCTTCTCAAGTGCAACAAGTCCCACTTCCGCAGCCACAAATTCGCCGATGTGAGTACAGTGCCCCCTGCCAGCGCTGGCCGGCATGGCCTCTCAGTCCTGTGCCCTAACTGTCCCTGGCTCTGTCTGGAGCTTTCAGCCTCTCCTGCGCTCAGCCCTCCTGCCTCTACCCTGCCCTCCTACCTCGACCCTGCCCTGCAGCCAGGCTGTCCCTGTGCAGGGGGCTCGCCCTGCTGGCGTTTCTGTGATAGAGACTCAGCTTGAGCCTACATGGGAAGGAGGAGTGGCCAGAGTCTTTGGCTCCTGCTACCCCGAGGGGCAACCCTAGACCCCAGAACTACAGGCCACAGTCAGGCGGGTTTGGGCAGAAGACACACGGAGGTGGGGGAGGTAGACGCTCCAGAGCACACAGCCTGGGTAGCAGGTCTGGGTTTGAATCTCGGCTGTATTCATCAAAAGCAGCAGGTTGTTTTCCACCGCCGAGTTTGTATGTCTGTGAAATGCGGTCACAAGGGAGAAAGCATGTGTAGAGCACATGGCAGGGCTGTGCCAAGGAGCCATTGATTTTGCCGTGGCTCAGCTGTCCTCAGGTGAGACTGTTCATGCCCTCTTTTTTCTCTCAGCTGCCCTGTGAGCTGCAGGACATGGTTCGGAAACACCTGCACAGCAGCTCTGAGGCTGCCAGCCTTGGTCCCACTCCCAGCCCAGCACCAGGGGCTGTGGTGCCCACCTCGGTCATTGCCCGTGTGCTGGAGAAGCCAGAGTCCCTGCTGCTCAACTCTGCACAGTCAGGCAGTGCTGGGCGGCCCTTGGCTGAGGATGTCTTTGTGCACGTGGACATGAGTGGGGGTGTCCCAGGGGACACAGCCAGTCCCCCAGCCCCCAGCAGTCCTACCCCCCAGACCAATGGCGAGTGCCACTCTCTGGGTACTGTGGGGGGCTCCCCAGAGGAGGAGCAGTCCCTGCCAGCCTTTGAGAAGCTGAGCCCCTACCCTACCCCATCTCTGCCTCACGCACTGTACCCTGGCCGCAAGGTGATAGAGTTCTCGGAGGATAAGGTCCGCATCCCCCGCAACAGCCCATTGCCCAACTGTACCTACGCCACGCGCCAGGCCATTTCCTTGAGCCTAGTGGAGGAGAGTGGTGAGCAGGCCCACCCTAGCCCGGGGCCCAGCAACCCTGCCTCAGCTCAGGTCTCCCCGCACCACCAGCCTGCCCCTGCCGCCCCTGTGCCCAGCAACCCCGCCAGCTCCGCTAGCTCTGAAGAAGACCTGTTGGCCAGCTGGCAGCGGGCATTTGTGGACCGCACTCCGCCACCTGCCGCTGTGATCCAGCGCACGGCCTTTGGGCGGGATGCCCTCCCTGAGCTGCAGCGCCACTTTGCCCTTAGCCCTGCTGACCAAGATGAAGTGATTCTGGCACCTTCTGCCCCACCTGATGAGAGTGGGCTCTTGCTACCAACAGAACCTAACCCAGGCTCCCCTGGGGAGGAGGAAGAGGAAATACTGAACCTACCTGTCAGCCCTGAGGAAGAGCGCCAGAGCCTGCTGCATGGGAACAGGGGTGCAGAGGAGGGGCCTGGCGCTTTGCACACTGAGGGCAGGGCCTGGCCACTTGCTGGCTCCAGCCGCCCACAGCGCAGCCCCAAAAGGATGGGGGTACACCACCTGCATCGCAAGGACAGCCTAACCCAGGCCCAGGAACAGGGCACCCTGCTCAGCTAGGCCACCAAGGACAGCCTGGCCCTGGTCTGGTAGCAGGCAGTCCAGGCCTAGGCCTGGACTCTTACCTCTGACTTGCACAGCTTTGTTTCCTGTGTGAGTGACAGGCTCTGCCAGACCTTTTGGTTTCATTGACAATGGCACCAGCTTGCCTCCTTCATGACCTTGTCCTTGTCTTGGAGTGTTTATTCTCCAGAGTAACATGCAGGTGGCCTCAGGCCGTTCCCTCCATCCCCAGCCCAGGTCGGGCTGTCCTGGGGCACTGAGGGGCTCATCAGTGTTCATCCCAACCTCCCTTCATGTTCCTGGGCTTGGTGGTTTGGGGTATCACTGGGATTAACCTCTGGTTTGTTTTCCTCTGCTTCCCTCTGCACGAGCCGTTGCCCTCCCAGTGCCTGGCCCAGCTACCCTGCAATGTAGAATTGAGACTCAGGGCTCCCCTTGCTGCTCCTACCCCCAGTAGGGGAGTATGGACTTCAGAGGCCTCAGGCTGGGCTCTGGGTGAAGCCCAGCTCCTCCCAACCTTGGCTCTTAGACTGTTACTCCCAGCTTTGGGAAATTTTCACATTGATGACTATTTTAAAATAAAACTATTTTACTGGTATGCCCTCACTTGTCTTAATGACCTTTCCTCTTCCCTTTTTTTTTTCGTCTTTTTGAGACAGGGTGTCGCTATGTAGTTCAGGCTGACCTTGAGCTCACTTTGTAGCTCAGGCCAGTCTTGAACTCGCAATACTCCTCCAGCCTCAGCCTCCTGAGTGCTGGGATTACAGGCGTGCCCTGGTCCTAGTGTTTTCCTGGTCTTCACCAGTGACCCATCCCCCTCCCATTCTGCCTGGGGCTTCCCTGGCCACAGAGCCTCCAACCCTGGAGTGGGCCCTCAGGTAGCCTCTGCAGTGTGCAGGTCTCTCTTCAGCCCAGTGGTGGAAGTAAGTTCCTCACTGTAGTCAGGTTTGTGTGAGATGTAACCCCAGGGCCTTAGGTCGTAGACCTGGGCCAGGCCTTCTGGAGGCGCAGGGGAACTCGGGCTGTGGGGTGATCCTGCCCCCTAGTGGTGCGTAATGGCAGTTCGGGTTCCTCCCCCAGCTACCCCTAGTAAGCACAGCCTCACACCAAGTTGTAGATTTTGTAAAATCTGTTCCGAGCCAGCGGGTTGCAGCCAGAGCTGCCGACAAGTCCAGAGGGTTGCCCTGGGCTCCAGTGCCTCCAAGGCTGTTGTCAGCCACAGCTTCCAGAGCTTCCCACACTACCAGGAGCTGCCAGAGCCCCGGGGCTACCCCCTCCCAAGTCACAGAGCCTGTCCCTGCCATCCAGGGAAGGAGCTAGGTAGGGACAGAGAAAAACATGTAATGACACGCAGAAACCCAAGTGGAGAGTCACATCTCGGTCTCAGCCAGCAAACTGTCCCCCAGTCCTGACGTCATTAGCACCATCTGGGAACTGGCATCTGCAGAAGGGTAGAGGGTGTTGTCAGCATGTGTTTGCCTCCATGGGGACACAGGTGAGAGCTGGCCCATTCCCCACCCACCTTCCCTGTCCTGGATCCTCTACACCTGGCTCCAACCAATCCTCTGGTTCTTACCGCCGGGGCACATCCAGGAGCTGCTGCTCCTCGCGTGGGCAGCAGGCTCCTTCCCTCGTTCCCATTCCTGGGTGTCACCACTCCCTCCAGCCACCTCTTCCTCTTCCTCGCCCTCAGAGAGAAGGTCACAGATCTGCTGCTGCAGCTCGGGGCTGATGCTGTTCTCGGCCAACACCAGGCTCCGCAAGGCTGTTGGGTAATTTTCCACCATGTCCAACAGGGTCTGTGGAAGGGTGGAAAAGATGAACCCACGTAATTGTGGCAGGTCCTTGGACCCCAGCTGCTCCTGTCCATCCCATGCCCTCCTTGTCCCAGGCATCATGACCTCACCTGAGCTGACTGGTTGGTGAGCCCTGTGCCCTCCAAGTCTAGGACTTCTAGGGTACGGCTGGAGGCCACAGCCACAGCCAGCATCCCTGCTACGTGGTCACCTGGGGAGACAGCGCACGCACACTCTGACCTGAGTTCGTGCCCCGTTAGCCCCATCTCCCGCTCAGCCTCCCATCACCCTAACCACCTTTGGCTCCACCCCTGGCTCCTCAGGAGACCTTGGCTGTTGGTAGGTGGCAGGGACGGGACTGGAACTGGGGTGCTGGCTGGTGCTCTGACCTGCCTGATGGTCACCTACGGGTCCACACAGGACAGCTCTCCTCCTGTCCCTGCCACCTCACTCCTCTTCCCTCCCCAGTGTGGGGTTCCCAGGGCAATGGGGTCCCCAGGTTCTTGGGCAGGTGGGTGGGGCATGAGCCTCACCCAGGGGGTTGTAGTCCAGATTGAGAACTCGGACCTGGGAGCTGTGGGCCACAGCGATGGCCAGACGGCTCCAGCCCTTGGGGGTGATGCCAGGGTTGGCGCTCAGTGTCAGCTCCTTCAGGCCTAGGCAGAAGCACAATAAGAAACCAGACAGGGAGGGTTCAGGCGTACTCCAGCCCTTCCCTAACCTGTGTCTCTGGGGCGTCATCAGTGGCTGGGAGCCACCCCACCCCATCCCACCCACAGAGCCCCAGAGCCTCTGAGGACCCTGAATCTCCACCTGGTTCTATCCCCAGCCTCCCTCTCCTGGATGTTCTTGTCCCTGCCCAGGAGGGACTCTGCACTTAGCTTCCACCCGGGCCACCCCAACCAATGCCCTACTCACCAGACTTGGCCCCGTCTGGCGGGAGGAGGCCACAGATGAGGTTGATGGCTTCGTCACCCAGCATGCAGTCCCCCAGGTCCAGAGCCACGAGGGCGGGGTGGAGGGCCAGGGCTGGGTTCAGCAGGGCCAGCCCAGCATCTGTCAGCGGGCTCCCATGCAGGCTGTGGGGAGGCAGGGGGGCAGTTACTCAACGCCCAGCCTTCCAGTGGAAAAGAGGTGCCTCCCTTGAGAGGCCCCAGAGGAGGAGGGATGAACACTCTGGATTCTTAAGAATACTGAAGAAGGGGAATCTTTTTTTCTGGGACAAGGACTGGGATCCAGGGTATTGCAGAAGGCGGCAGAGAAGGGGCGTGCTGGTGGTGCCCTGGAATTTTCCAGTGGGCACAATGGTAGGGACAGGGCTCTAGTACCTGGGGTGGGGGCGGGGTTCCTTTTTGAGAACGGAGGTGCAGCCCTGGCAAAGTAAAGCAGGGTGATAAGATGGGAAAGGCGGACAGGCCCTGCCAGGAAGGGGTGGCCGCCACCTCGTGAGACCGTAGGAAGCCCAGAAACCAGACAAGCCTTGGAGGGTGTGGTGGAGACGCGGGTAAGGGTGCAAGGTCAGTCGGGCGGGAGACAAACTGGAAGGTGAGGAGGGCCAGGAAGTGGCAGGAGAGCGCGCGGAGGGCGCAGCGCCTGGGACCCTTTGGCGAGGGGCGCACTCACAAGAGGGACTGGATGGAGCGGTTGGTCCTCAGCGCCTCCGCCAGCTGTTTGATGCGGCTGGGGCTGGACACGACGCCCAGGTTAAGGTTGAGCTGCGCCAGGGATGTGGCCCCGGCTAGGGCCCGGCAGATGCGGCCGAAGTCGCGGTCACAGAGGCGGCAGCCGCGCAGGGACAGCAGGCGCACGGCGTTGTCACGCAGGCCGCGGCAGATGTCCCGCACCTCGGCGCCTGACAGCGGCTCCCCCGAAATCTGGATGGAGCTGGGCAGCATCGTACCCGGGGCTGGGCCACAAGGGCCGGGGCGGGGGCGGAGCGGGCCGGGGAAGAACGCCGGGATCCCGCGCGGGACGATGCGGGACGCTGAGGGCGCTGGCCGGGACGCGCGATGGGGCCGGCGAGCGCTGCCACGCGCTTGTCGTCGTAGTCTCTCGCAGTTCCGGAGGCAGCGGCCCAGGGGCGGCGGCTCGGGTCCGGCCCCTGCTCAGAGGCCACACTGGCCCCGCTCTCCGTCCCGGCTCCGCCG